ATTATATGCTGGTAGATATGGAGATAAATATATAATCGAAATCAAATACTTTATTAAGATAAAAATATATTATTTTAGGAGAATCATGTCGATTAACATCGATTATATGTTCACATGACGAACAATGTTGTTCAGGTCGATGTTTATGTCGTCGATGGTTAATTATGGGAGAAGAACGTTGTATTAGAAAATGTTTCTAGAATGGATAAAATATTATCTGATTAAATTATAATTGTTTGTTTTTTTTTTTTTTTTTTATGAAAATGATTTCGTTAAATGATTATAATATTTATCAGGATGTATTATTATTTTTTTTTTTTGTATTAATAAATATTTGTAAATTAAAGTAGTATTTCAACTCAATTGTGTAGCAAATAAGTTTTTTTTGTTTGATATTGTAAAGAAAAAAAACTGAAATTTGAAACTAATTGTTTTTTTATTCGTAAGCAAATGTATATTGTTATTGCCTTATTAAGGCTAGATCATATATGCAGATCATCAATCGTATAACCATAGAAGAGTAGATTGTTTTTTGATTAAAAAAAAAAGACAGAACAATCAATTAAGAATAGATGGATTTATGACAATCTCAGATCGTTTAATATAGTGCAAGCACTCTTTGTATTACAATAAAAACTTGCCTGATATAAACGGAATGTTTTTTTCTTGTCTGTAATTGATGATATAGTTTAATTACATTTTAGTACAATAAGATAAAAATTCGAGTAATAGACTTTTCGTGTATTTGCACAGAAAAAACAAACTTAAAATTTTCATTAAGACTTCGAGTTCATAGTAAAATAGTTATTGTATAGTATTGTGAATTAAAAATCTGATTCGGTGTTGATACAAGAAAAATAATAGTCATATAATCTGACTACAAATAACAAATTTAATTATCTTTGATTTTCTAATTTTAGTAAATCTATAATGTTAAGAGAGAGTTTTTGAAAAGTGCATCGTTAATTGAATGACATTTCAGAATATTCTGATTTTTTTGTTTTTCTCTTTTTTTTTTGTAGCAAATTTTTCTTGAAAAGAGAGTGTTTTAACTTGATACTCTTTTAATTATAATTATTAGTAATTTCTATTGTTACGTACGATATTTTAAAAATTTTCTATAATTAAATATACAATATATTAATACCTTCAAAAAACATCATATGTGATTCATTGTGATGTTTTGTTAGCAAAATGTCGCTCGAGTGCATTTTATACGGCAACAACGAAATGTTTTTCTATTTTTATTAGTGATAAAAAGCTCTAAAAGTGCTATCGTCTGATGTATTAAATAATAATGTCTCATGCGAAAAATCAATCATTTTTAATAAAAATTCATCTTTTTTTCCTATCATTCATCAGATATATTTGAGTATGTGGGCATATACTCCTTAGACTAAACTTTTTCGGTTGATTAATTATTTTTTTTCTTGTTTAGCTATTTTTGTTTGTTGTGAATGATATGACGATATAAAATTATTTATATTAGATCTTCGACATATTTAGAGAAGTGTCACTGCCATATAAAATAGCATGAAAAAAAAGGAATGCATTTCCATGTTTTGATTGTAAGAAGTTAAATTTTAACAAAAATAAACCTAATATTCACTATCAGCATGTAAAAACTACACTGGAAAATGTGTTTTTTTTATCTTGAATTATTTTTAATGAAAATTTTACTAGACTTTTTCACTTGTATAATTTTACCCTGCGATCTTTCTACGGGTGAAATTTCGATGAGAAATATTTTATAATGAAAAAAATGTTTTCCGGTGTAGTTTTATATGCTGATTGTGAATATTATTAGGTTTATTTTTGGATACAAAATCAACTTTTAATAATCAAAACTTGGAAATATATTCCTGTTTTTTTTTAATGTTATTTCGTATGGCAGTGATATTTCTCTGAACATGTCGAAGATCTAATTTAAATAATTTTATATCATCATGCCATTCACAACAAACAAAAAAAGATAGTTAAACAAGAAAAACAAACATGAATCAGACGAGACAGTTTAATCTAAGGAGAATATACTAGTATTTTCGAATCTATCCGATGAATGCTAGGAAAACAATGATTGATTCTTCTCATGGGACATTACTATTTAATGCACTAGATGATAGAATTTTTAAAGCACTATTACTAATGAAAATAGAACAACATTTCGCTGTTGTCATAAAAAATGCACGGGATCGACACTTCGCTAACAACATGTTATAAAGGGTCACATATGACGTTGTTTAGAGTATAAATATATTGTATATTTAATTATAGAAAATTTTTGAAATCATCATTAAAAATTAACAATCGATATTTTGAATTATGAACTTAGGAAGAACGATCGGATCGAGTTGAAAATTTTCGAGATTACTAAACTCATCACCCACAACAAGATATTTTTTTACAAAAAGATCAAGAAATTTTGGCGTATCACTCACAGAAACTTACTCTTAAGCATTATTTCATACTCAATTTTTTTTTTATCGAAGACAACAAACTTTACAATGTTCAATTTTTCTTCTAAAACTTGTTAGCGGAGCCTCATTGGAACTGAAATATGAAATTCACATGTGTTCTTTAGCTTCATTATACTAGTACAAAATGTGAAAATTGTAAAATCACTAAAAGACGATAGTTTTTTTTCCAACAATGATCGATTGTCAACAAAAGTGCTATGTCATTTTTATTTCTACATTCCGAATAGAAATTTTATATTAATCTTTTTATTTGCATGGTGTTTATTTTCTTTTCGTAATTTATTATTATTAGTCTAACCATCGATTTAATGGACATATAAGCCTGTTATACATATTCGTTATATCTACAGCGAATCTTAACGCTTTTATATATATTGCTGATACTGATTATTCCTGAAAGATAGAACTTAATTAGATCATGCTTATATATTGGCCATATGGCAATTGTGGAAAATCAAAATATTATCCTTGACATCTATCATGTAATCGGTTATCTGCACAAAACCAGAAACTGTGTTGTTTAGAATATTGAAAAATGTATTCCAGTCGTTCAAGTATTAATGAAGATTCTAGAACCTTCTAAGTCTTATTATTAATATTGTGAATCCTAGTTGCTAAGTTCTGTAATTGGAGGAGTCAGAGATTTTCGACTTTTAATTCCAAAATACAAGACAAGAAATGACTGTTTTTAGCTCGCGTTAAAACTATCTTTTTTTTTTAGTTATTATTTCAAATGAATAATATATATTCTGATAAAGTAATGTTGTGTGCTTCAGAAAGCCAAGCTTGTATTTGAGTCAAGGCAAGAATTTTCTTTTCATATTTGAAATCTCCAATGAAGAATAAACACTGTATCATATGAGTAATAAAAAGAACGAGAAACAGCTGTGACACTGTTTCAAATGTACACTATTTGTCATGATCTAGTCTTTATTGTCAACTAAACTTACACAATGGTCAATAAATCATGTAATAATTCTTCCAGTGGCGTTCATTTTTTTAAACTAACGATTCATGCATATAATGGCTTCAAGTAATATCTGGCGGCATGTTCTGATTTTCTTTTTATATTCGATATTTTGTTAAAAGAGCATAAAAAAAATCTAGAACATTAGAATTATTCGATAGAACCACGATGAATCAGAGCCATTTTGAAATAAAATAAAAAAACCAGGAACTCTATAAAAAATTACTCTAAATTGAGAAAGGTTTGATTTAACTTGATTAATCCAATTGAACAATTCTTCATACAATCCTATTCTAATAATAGCTTGAAATACTGTCAGTTTATACGCAATGTATATGTCTTGAGAAATCCAGTTGAATTCTATTTCAATGTATGAAATGAAATGAATCGAAATTATAACTTTCTCTATAAAATTTTGTTTTCATTGAATAAATTGTTTGAATAAAATATTGAACTCTATTTATCTGACCGAATGCTTAAGGCTATTAGGCACAAATGAGAAAAAAAAATATATATATATAAATAATACTAATATAGATGATGCCTAAATATTCTTTATTTTCATTGATGACAAAAACGTACTTATACCTCATTCGTTTAATCTCATCTCAAATTTTTATATTGTATGATTATTTCTCTATATGGCTCACTTGACAATTGATCGATTTACCTTTCTTTATGTATTTTTATTCCTCTTGTCATCAACTACTCAAATTACATGAATTGTAGAATCTGTTGTGTTGCTGGTATGTCTATTTCATACAAGTGTGAAGTGGCTCATTTGTTTGATGAACACATATAGATGAGAGAAAGAATGGATATAAAAATGAAAAGTAATTGAATTGCTTCTTTTTTTTTTTGTATCATCGGTACCATATGCATACATAGAGAGTTCATGTTAATGTTCGAAAGAGATTGAACAAAAAAAAAAAAAAAAAAAAGAATTTTTTTCATTAATATATGCAAGCTGTGCTATATGGGTTTGTTCTCCGTGAGATATAGACAGAAGAGACAATAAGGCATAGTAACAAAATGACTGTTTTCAAGCTGATGCATAGTGAACATCGATTACTTGTCTTTAGTATGAAATAAAAAAAAGATTATATTCATTGATATTCTTCGTTAAAAGTATGTAGATTTATTTGTATGGTTTAAAAATTGTTTTATTTTTATTATGAAAGATTGATCTATTAGAGATTGAAGATAAGTTGACCGACAACAAGTCATGCAAATGAAACAATAATAATGACCCTCTCTTGTTCGCGTCTATTGTTCTGTTCTTTAATAATCGATTCTCTCAGACTATAGCCCCCATGCAAGGCCAGCATATTCTATATGTATGTATGTATACTCGCGCGTACTGTTCAATTCAAGTGGCTAGAACTGGCTGCATGATTGTTTGAACATTGTGTGTGCATACATGCATACAATACATACACAAACATAGATTGAATATACGTGCTCATTATTATACTCTATCGGTAGCATTATACAAGTTTTTTTTTTCTTTTCAACGAACTGACCGACTATCTGATATTCTATTTTAGAAAAAAAAAATGAGCTTTGTACATTGGTTTGTACTTATAATTATAACGAGTTTTACTCTTAGTCAAGCATCAACTATAATCTATCTTGAAAATTGTACATATTCAATAGAAATCTATAAACAATATTTAAATCTTCTTTGGTCATCAAATGATTCTCATACATTACATATTCAAGCTGTTTATTCTTTATCATTAAATAATTCATTTATACCTGGACATATTTATACATATTTATCTCAACCTGTTGCTTTAATACCATTTTTTATTCAATGTAAATATCCAAAAAATATTTATTCAAAATCTTATTTACCATTTACACAATGTTCATCAACAATAACAAATTTTTTAACAAAAAAAAATTATGAATCAACACGAACATATTTAAATTTAAAAACAATTTTATCAATGACTAATGTTCCATTACTTTATACAGGTGAATATAATCTTTTATTATCAAATTGTTCATTTCGATTCAATACAAATATATATCAATTAAAACCAAATGATTTATTTAAATTTCATATTGAATATGAAAATTCAATAAATAATAATATAACATCATGTAATAAATGTAATAGACGTACATCAATATGTTATGAAAAAAAATGTTTATGTCGTTCAGGTA